GCGCGCTGCAGAAGCCCGTGTCCCCCGCCCCGCTCCGGCGGGGACTCGCCGCCAGGAAGCCGGCACCCCTCGACGAAGCCCGTTCGGCGTTATTGGTCTCGCCTTTCTCCGCGTGCGCTTGGGCCTCCGCAGCCCGGGCCGCGCCTTCCCGCGTTCAGCCGTTCCCTCCTCTCCTCAGGGGCCGAAGCCGGAGTGCGAACATAGAGACCGGAGCCCAGGCGATAGGACGCGCCCGTCCCCGCTCTGCTTCGCTGGAAGGGGCCGGGCTACTCGGAACCCGAAAAGCAGCAGCAGCAGCAGCCCTGAGGCGAGAGGGCAGCTCTTTTTTTCCCCAGAAAGTGGCAACCCCGGTCAGATACCCGCTATTCCAAATACGTCCCCTCGTTTAAGCTCAGAAAGTATGTTTCTGTTAAAAGTAGCTTTGGCTAAAACAGACGAAACAATCACTCCTTCAAACAGAAGGGAAATGGGAGAAGTCAGAGCAGCAGAGAAGTTGATTTCTTTTTAAAACATGTATATTTAGAACTGTAACGCTTACAATTTCATTAAACAATCTTAGTACAATGTGTTTAATCTAACAGTATATTACAGAACAATGTGAAAAATGATTTAATAGCAAACCATGGAAATGGAATTAATTATATAATACCTGCAGTGTCAAAGTCACTAACTTGTTACCTTTTCCAGTCAAAGAATCCCAGCAGTCATTTGCACTAAATGATGCTTTGGGTTTTATCCAGAATAAAATGGTATGATTTCCACAGAGAAAGGGCATTCCTTCACAGAAAGAAGATGCATAACAAGAACATTTTCAGCTAGCAGGTCTATTTTATACATCTATTTAGACATACTGGGTTTTTTTTAAATAAAAAAGAATAATTTAAAAAAAAATGTTTAGACCAGTGCAGGGTGCCTAATCATTTTTCAACTTAATTGCGATTCTTTTTGGAAAGAGGGTTTGGTTGGGTTTTTTTTCTTCCCCTTTATAATTTAGCAGAACCTGAGTTTAGAAAAAAACAACAACAAAGAACTTGTCTAATGAGCAGTTCCTTGCTTTAGTTTTACTGACAAATATTTCATATGGGGCAGTTTTCCTCTGTGGAGTCTGTTGACAATGCACCATTATAGATCTGCAAGTAGAAAAGGTCATTCTCACATTAAATGCACAAGTTTCAATATCAGAAGCAGGACATCAGAAGGAGTTGTAATTTTTCCAGTCACAGGTGGATTTGCAACATTCACAAAAATTACACTTTTTTTTTTTTTTACATTTTTTTGTATTTACATTTCAGATATAAATAATGAAATTCTTTAAGTTACATGTTTTAACTTTGCTTCACAATTATTCTACATCTGCAAGCTCTCCTATATCAAACCAACCTCTTTCTTCCATCATGAATGCGGAAGTCTGGCCTCTAATCAGTAATAATTACACTAAGCCTTTATGATGAAAGGTTGACTGTTCAAGTATCACATCATACTGAAATTTTTGCCCCAATTTTTAAATTGGAGCAGCAAACCAAGCCACTTAGAAATGGTAATAAAAGAAATTAATCTGGGAACTCAATAAGCCAAATAATTTATTATTAAATTCTATCAATATCTTTCTTTGGTAAGAACTATGCAAGAAGATGACCCAACCCCCACCCCCCAAAAAATCATATAATATGTGACATCACAGTGTCTACTCTGTGAAGGAGAAAGCCTCAAAAAATTAAGGAATTTTGTTCAGTTAAGATTGTTTAAAGCAGTAGCTCTTCCATGCATCTAAGTATGTAAATGATGGAAGTTTAATACAAAATTGCAATGGCAGGAATTAACAATGATAAAACAAAAAACCACCAAACAAATAGAAAAGCAAAAAGCAACTATTACACCAGTGAATGTGCTGTTGTATGCTTTGTTGTGTTTCTGGCACATGTGTGGAAAAGCCTGTAAATGACATAAAAATCCAAGATTTGGATAATTAGATCATTGAACTCTAAATTGTAAAATATATAAGGAAGCATGAAACAAATCTCTCACCTGCCAGACAAAAATAAAGAAGTGGTCCAAATATTTGGATATTTTGTTTTTGTTGCCCTGTGTTGTGATGCAGGATGTGACCGAAGGGAGAAAACCCAATAGCTTACACAAAACATACTAAAGTGGCAATATAAACTAGCTGACACAAGCTTCACTGTACATTTAAATTGATACAATTGTCTGGTGCTTCCATGGCCAGTACACGTTGAATGCCATAGGTCTCCTTAGAGTTAGAATGTTACAACAAAGACTAATCAGGTCATAATTCTTTAAAGTGCTTTCATATCCAGTTTCTAATGGGTTTTGTTTTCTTTGTTTCCATACCGAGTTGTCACGTGATATTGACTTCCAGAACATGGTCGTCCTTGCTGGGAATGACAAGTATTTGCATACCCGTGCTGCAGTTGAAGACCTGACCAGATGAAAAGGATTGCAGACGGGGCATTGGCAAACCTTTGTGTTCCCCACTAGCTGCAGAATGCAAGCTACCTCTGCTCCTTATGCTGCTGCTCTCAGCTTGATCATCCACATTCTTGTCCACAGAGAGGTTATCATTTTCAATCCAGCTATCTGTTTAAAACAAAAACCCACAGTTTTATTCTATGGAGTGATTAAACAAACTAAAAGTTATTTCAGAGCTCAGACACACAGTCAATTTACCACATGTTAACAGTTAACTGATCATCTCTGCTGAGGTAACAGACTGCACGCTTTTGGCCAGCAGCAGATGTAACAGAGTGAGTTATATTGACTTCTACAGAAAATTTAAGTAGCATTACCTCACATTTGTCACAGGCTAGAAGGGTGCACATTGGCAGTTCCTGGAGCTCTGCTGACAAATGGTTGTATGAGTGAATTCTCACTACAGCTCTGGGACTACTCAACAGTACAGATAAATACTCTAGGTGGCTGTGGTAATTTAAACTCTTCATCTAATCTGGTTTATGTGTCACAGATTTTCAGTTCTTTTATTCCGTACTTAATCCTTTCAAAAACTGGGGAAAAACTTCAAAGCTAATGAAGACACAGTAGATGTGCATTTTACAGACAACAAAACCGCAGGATTAGAGGGTTATCAAACAGTTTTCACTTGACTATAAATCCAGTGACAACTAATTTGCACAATAATCTTTAAAGGAAATATAAGAAAACAATGCATTTATTATTCCTCCTCACAGATTAAGGCTGCAACCAGAATTCAAAGTTCCCATTACAGCAACATTTTGTAAGTTTCAAATCAGAACTGTGAGCGAAGGTAAGTAACAGACACCTATGAGTACTTGGTCAATACACTTCCTCGCCTTGCTTTTCTCTTTACACAAGAACACAGGAGAAACAGGATCATTTCTGTAAGCAGCCATGTAGTCAAGATAGCTTTACCAGCATCAAGTTGCATGGAGTGAGCAGAATGGTGAGGGAGGTATTTAAACAATCTGACATCAGGAAAAGGTAGATATCCAGCAAACAGCGGCATCACTTCCATGTGGACTTTGTGAGTTGCTCGAGCTGCTACAGGCATAGATATCACTCCAGAACTTTTTCCACAGACTGCCCAGTTACTACTGTTGTCAACAACTATAAGAATAAAGAACAAACACTATAAAGATCTTTTCTGAAAAATGACAAACCCTCAGTATAGTTTCAGAGTATTTTTAAAAACAGTATTTTAGCAACATCTAAAAGCCCACCAGCTTCTACGTGTGAAGAGCTGTGCAAGGTAGAATAACAGCCCTACACAAAAGGGACCATAATTGGGATTCAAGCAAGTATCCATTCAGTCTGAACAGCATTTATATTCCACTTGAAGAGAGCTTAATGAGAAGAAAATAAAATACTCTCAGTCTAGCAAAATGAAAACTGCTTTACTGAGCAGCCATACTCACAATACAAGAATATATGCCATAGAAAAGTCTGGCAGATGTCGTTATCAAGACAAAACTGGGGAATTTTGTCAATATCCTTAAGAAAAATATTCTTACCTTCATACATGAGTTTTGTTGTGCAATATCCATCTGATTCTGTTAATGCTTCATCTCTGTCAACCTCTGAGAGGTCAACAAGTCGGGTGATTGACACCTCTAAGGAGCAGAGTGAACCTGTTTTACAATACTCTGACCCCAATGGTGGAAAAATCTCAGTTTTCACATGATACAATGTCTGTCAGGAAGAAAACAGTGCTGTTATCAAGAAAAAAGGGGCGTTTTACTTGTGTTTAAACTGAACTGGACAACTGATACAGTACAAACTTAATTTTACATTTACCATCCATTAAACCTTTTTAATGCAAGATTCAGTTCTAAGTAATGTTCACTTCATTATCTTGCTCAGTTTGAGGAAATAAGCACACCATTTTCCCCTCCACTTATGCTTTAACTCAGCCTTTCAATGCTCCTAAATGGATACCAGCCTTCATATTGTCCAAACAAACTTTTACTAGTTTCTTGGCTCCTCACTTTCCAGACACATCACTCAAATTTTGAGTAATACAGAAGAACTACTTCATCACTCTTACCATCACAGGCCCCAGAATAATGGTACTCACATTATCAAAGAGCTAATTTTTAATTACTACAAAATTAAATTTCTATCCCCCCCCCCAATGTTTAAATGCAGTTAGTTCTCTTTAAAAACTCCAGAAAGATGCTGATACAGGTGCCAACAAATGCTAGTGACATGCCAGTAGGTAAACAAATACCTAAAATATTGTTCAATGTCACTTTGTAATAAGCAGGTAGAAAACATAGCAACATTGGAAACAGACAAAAGGATTTAACCAAATGAGAGTCTTCTCA